ATGAAAATCGCATGATGATTTCTTAGGCTGCTCGCTTTGATGTCACCTATTGCGATTCTGCTCATGGTTTTGTCTAAGTTTCCGAAATCTTAGAAATCAGTCATTGTTGACTGAAGTATGTTGAACTCAATATCTTCCACTGATAGTTCATGACAGATATGCCAACATTCTATTATGAATTTTCAAAGCTTGGCATTTCAGTATTTTTTCGATCTTCGAGTTTCAGATGTTTGAATCATTGAATTTTGCACTTTCAGGCCTCATACGGTTAGATTTTTAAGAGAATTTTGGATTTTCAATCGATTTGAAAGTCCAAAGTCCGAGAAATAACCTTTTTTTCTCTTTTTTGATGCAATATACTAGTTTCTATCGCAAATTATTAAGAATGCTCGAAGATAATGCTCCGTTTACCTTTTGACAGACCTCGATTAAGATAACAAGTATGTCTTCCATTGTATAGAGCATTTGAATCCCGTAGGGATGGCACTGCAATATTTTTCAGCTACGTGTAGATGAATAACGAGTTTGCAAGAAATCTAGTGTATGTTGGAACATTTTTCTGAATGTTTTGTAAGTATTAAGAACTTTCATAATGTATTAAAATGTTGCAGAAGTAAAGGAAATCAATTATGAATATTAACATGTTCGACTATAGAATAACTTCACATCGTTCTTCTAAGTAGCCAAGAGAAGACAGATGATGCACCGATTTGTTAGTCAATTAAGACATAAATCCTTTTTATTATGAAAATGAACATTTTAAAGATTGATTCTATCTTATAATCCGCGTCTTTGCTGTTTTATGGAAAACTTTGATGACGAGGTATCTTTGTGCAAATCCCATACTAATTAGAATGCGTTCCATAGATCTTGTTTCGAGAATAAGTTTTTTTTATACAATGACAAATTCGTGGTGGTATATAAATATAAAATCGATCAAGTTTTAAATGACCAAATGTTGATAATCTTGATACACGATTGAGAGCGTTAACAAATATACCATCTTGTACCAAAATATCAAGGGTGTGGGTGTGGGTGTGGGCGTGAGTGTGTGGGTGTGTGGATGTGGGTGGGTCTGGGTGTGGGTGTCCTTCAAATAATACTCACATTCACACTCATACACCCACCCACACTGACCCACCCACACACACCCTCACACCCACACCGTCACACTCACACCCCAGACCCACACCCTAAGTATACAAAAACAATTCAGAATCGACTATACAGTATAAACTACATCTATGATGAAATTTTCAGTAAGATCGAACTCGAAAAGTTTTCTTCATAAAAATTGGTTTTCTGTATATCCTATCAAGTTTTAAAACAAAATTTTTTCTCTCATTATTATCTGTCGATTCTGAAAAAGTCCTCCATGTTATGCTAACGAAAACTAAATCCAATTGTTTGAAAAACTTGTGCTTGCTCAGAAAAACTTTCGATAGGGATCGTTTAGTCTCAAGAGTTGCCTCCAGAAAGGTATTAATTAGTTTTCGAAGATGTTGCTATCATTTGGAGTTATTTAAACTAAAACTTTTGAAAATGAAAGTATATAGCGTTCTATGAGTCATGTTATTAACGCTAGATTTTTAATGATAATTTCAATGAGAAAAAGTCTTTACGTATAATTTTTTCAGGATATCTAGAATAACGGAACATATAAAGATTAGCTCTAGGAAAGTTCATTATTTATTCAGTATGCGAGTGAGTGTTCTTTCAGATATTTCAATGAGTCGTTTTTGTCACAACAACATTAAAGATTCTCTCGACTTCCTATTATTCAATTAATCAGATATAAATTAAAGTTATAATAGTGAAAAATAAAGATATAAAAGTTCATAGTTTAATTCAAGCTTTGCTTGATAATGGTCTAACAGTAATTAGACATGTCTCTCAATGATAAACAGAAAGTTTATTTGAATAAATTTCATAAATATAATCCTATGTCTGTATGCTTTCTAACCTTGTACTATTGTTCATCTTCAACTCATTTTGATTTTATTAAAGCAATAATAGAATTATATCTGAAACTCGTATTGAATAACTAAAAAACATATTGACAAATTGAGACATGAGCATCCATAGATTTAGTGATACTTTTCTAACGATTTAGATTTTAATATTTAAGTTCAATTGATACTATTGACATACACTTAATCACATTATTAATAAAGAATTGAGACGAATAAAAGAATTCATTGAGTAGATCATTTTAAATTAAGAAAAGAAAGTTCTATTATTCATTAATATAAAATTAATTCTGATGAATTTCTTAAATTTTTCTAACAATATTCCGAATTCTTGCATGTCTTATCATTAAATGATGTTGATATCGAAGTCTAATACAATGATTACCAATGACTATTGTTATATCAATAGTTGTTCAACTAATTCACTATTTGTTATTACCTGAGTTGAATTATCATGAGTAGTTGATAATTTTTCTTCGATTACCATAGTAATAATAATAAGATTTTGTTTCATTTTTAGATTGAACGTTCGAATCACACTTTTTCACAAATACTAACCTATTACCTTGCTCAAAAGTTAGTTTCCATATAATCAAGTGTAAAAGAAAACAATTATCAAATTGAAAGAATAAAATGAGAAAAGGATTATTCAGCTCGACTTCCAAATAAATGAATCTATTTTATGACGCTGTGGGTATGGATGCTTTGTGTATCTTCTCTTCACCCACTCGTATTCAAACCTACAACCACACCCTTTTTCAGTTGTTTTCTCTCTTGTATTGAAGAAAAAAAATGAATATGTCAGATTTTGTAAAAATGTTTATGCAATTCAAAGAATCATTATGTTATTGAAAACCATCATCTTCCACATCATTTTACTAATAATTTATCTAAAACTCATGCTCATTCAAGTCTCATCTCTTTAATTGACACTGAAGGAAGTCTGTCATTGCTTACCATTGCCTGTTTTTGAAAAATTTCAACTACTTTCGATCATACACAAATGAATATCGATGCTTGTACTCCATTTGAAATGTATTCCTTTTTACAAATATGGTTTTTATTTCTTTGTTTGTCATCATTGTTGGTTTACTCTTCATGTTGAATATTTTGCTGTTGTCATATGCAGCGCTTCTCAAGAAAGTGCGTCGTTGACAGAAACAAAAAAAAACAAGGTAGAAAGAAGAAAGATACGATAAGCAAAGCTTTTTTATGTTGCAAAAGTAACGAAAGAGTTCTTCGACAAACAAGCGACGCGTCTCACATACGCAAAATTCGACCAAGTTGGAAATAACTGTTATTGAAATTTTTTGAAAAATTTTATTTTGATTATTACATCCTGGTAAGTAACTTACGGCCATGATTCCTAAGTAGAATGAAATGAATATTCATCACGAACTTCCGTTTATCTGATTGACTGATTATTTTTTCTTAGTCAGAAGTCTACCGAGTGTATTTACCTGTATCCATCGTACACAGTTTTATTGACTTAATGGTTCTTTCTTCTAGAATTTTGTCTGCATTTTACATGATTATCTTTCTACGTTTGTGTCCTATCCTATTCATGATCTTTTCGTGATTTTTGAGATTGAGATGGAAGTATCGAAATAGTGTAACTGGTAATTTCATAAGGTATAACGACGATACTTTCATGCTTCGGAAGTTTGCCTATCATTAAGAATGAGTGGGTCATTAAAAGCGAGTGTGACACCTTTGCATAACATAGAAATGCTTAGTGATGCAGTCGAAAACCTTTCCACTGCAAAACCTGCGGATAACGATATTGGCAATCAGTGTTCTGTCATGCATCAACACAAATGAGTGCGAACGAACGAAATTCAATCCCAAAGCAATAGACGAAAGTGAGCTTGAGAAACTCTCACCCGCTTACCAATGCATACCAGTGAGCATGCATTCTATTCTATCTGAATTTAAGACACGAAATTGATTGGAAAACCAATCGAACCTTGATAGGATGCTTATCAGTATGAATGGGTGTGGGTACCAATGTGGCTGTGAATGCCGTGTGATTTAGCAGAAGAGCTGCATCAAAACACCCAAACACAATCCCCCACAGTCAAACATTCAATCCTACCTAGGCATGTACCGAGTCACAGTAGCTCGGGTTTTGTTAGACTCGTTGAGGCTCTAGTTGAGCCTAACCGTGCCAAAGTGGTGACCGAGTCGATCCTATCTGGAGCCTCAGTCTAGGATTCGGCTTGGTACATGACTAATGCCACCTACAGCCATACATCTGCATTCAATCATGCTAACCCAATCACCCACATCCGATCATTTGCATACCCATGCCTAGTCCCCTACCTCTACACACCTCCATTCCCAACAACACTCAAACATCCACACAACTACATCCAAACCCAATCATGCACATCTGATCCCCTCATCCATCCTCTACACATTCAAACCCAACAACTCGCACACATCCATTCACAATCGCAGTCACACTGAATCATGCACGTCAATCCACAACCCCATCCGATCATCCACACCCATTTATGCACATTCAATCTCCAACACTCAATGATTCACATCAAAACCTATACTCGTCCATCCACATACCAACAACCAGTCACTCACAACCACACACAATCCTTCAGACCCACACCCACAACTTTTGACTGTGGCTGCAAATGTAGATGGTTCTGCTATCTATCAATATCGACATCCTGGAGTGAACTCATTGATATCATTGTTTTTAATGAGACCAACAAAACTTAACAGGAATGTTTTGAAGGTCAGTATGCTCGTCGCCGAAAACAAGATCGTCGAAAACTCACATCGTCGACTCGACGTGAAAATTTACCGTGCGCTTTCACGTCGTGTCGGCGATGTCAGTTTTCGACGATCTTGCTTTCGGCGAAGAGCATTACATTCATGCTAAAATATTTACATACATAGCCATATACTCAACATCTTTGACAAATCCTAAATTTTTATTCTACCGTCAAGATTTCTATCCAGACATAGCTTTTGATGTCAAATGTACGTTTCAGATTGTCGTAATTTCCAATGGCGGCGAAAGAAATACCTGGTGCTACATCTGTGTCACGACGTCGATTAGCGCTTGTAATTGGCATTGATGATTATGAAAACCACCTGAAATTAAAAAATCCAAAGAATGATGCGGAAAAGCTGTCATCTCTCTTGCAACGTATTGGTTTTATTATTGATACATCACCATTGGTCAAAACATATGGTGAGCTAAAACGTAAGATTCTTGATTTTGAACTTTCAATAGAGCCGAATGATGTCGTCCTATTTTACTTTGCTGGACATGGGGTACAATGGGAAGTGTGTATTAAGACTTTTACCATTAAGCTCTTTCGCTTTTTCAATGAGCGTTATCTTTGTTACTTCTAGGGTCAGAATTATTTAATGCCAAAAGACTTTCCTCAATTTCCTGAAATAAATGAAGCAGATTTAAAAGAGATAGCAGACATATTAGAAAAAGGCATTTTAAAAAAAGAGATGGCTGACATATTGAAAGCAGACATTTTAAAAAAGAAGACAGCTGACATTTTGAAAATGAAGGCCATCAATGCACAAGATATTCTTAACACATTGAGTGATCGAAAACCATTTGTAACAATATTTCTTTTGGATTGCTGTAGAGAATATGTCTTACGGAATCCTGATTTACATACACGTGGTCCAAACTCAAACACGAGCAATTCTAAATCAGTTGGCCTAGCAGCAATGCACAAAGCAGGCACACTGGTTGCATTTGCTTGTGCACCTGGTACATATGTAGATGATAGATCAAAAGACAAAAATAGTTTATTTATGGAACATCTTCTAAAACACATTAAAACTCCGAATGAAGATATTGTAAATATATTACGTAATGTGACCCATGGAGTGATGGAAGATTCCAATGACACACAGGTTCCATTTTTGAGTGTTCAATTACGATACCAGAATATCTACTTGTGTGAGCAAGCTCAAGGTAAGAAGAATAGTTCTGAATAGAGTCAAAAAAAGAATTGGTAGAAAGAGTGTTTCATTTGCAAAATGTTTGAATGAAAACAAAGTCAAGATAGATTTTCCTATATGAAACTAAAAGTGAACTCAACTTGTGAGAAGAAAGAAAATATCTATGAACTATATCCACACTCACATCCTCTTTTTGGTTGAGAGAGAGAAAAAGATTTTAAAAAGCTATCCATAGTTAAAAAAAACTATTATTATCTCAAAATGACCAGAACTTTTCGTGAATCACCTCGTTATAAGGAGTCAATCTGAAAATGGTAAAAACGGTTTGATTACCCATCAAGAATGGATGAAAACAGACAAGATGTGTTTGAAACCGATTCATTTTAAAGAAAGATTAATACGTTCTTGATGAATAATCAGCTATTTTCTGACGCATACATATTGAAATGTGTAAACGTATTTTTCATCTTTAACTTTTCTGCCCTTCTAGGTGTATTAAATCTGATGTTACTGCTAAGCTTTCGTTGCAAGAGAGATCCTATGTAGTCTTTTAAGTAACAAAAAGTCATGTGCTCGAAAGGAAGTTACGATTCTCAGAGTGCACTTATTTGTAATCAAAAGCAAAATATTCGTTTCGAAATTCGAATGGGTGCGGGTGTGTGATGTGGTTGTGTGGTACAGGTGTGAGTAAGTGTGGATGTGAGTGTGTTTGAGGAAAATATTCACATCTTCAACTATACACCCACCCACATCCACACCCACACTCCCACCCACATTTAAGGGAGCATGTTGGTGTGGCACCAATAAAAATATAGGAAGCAATTTCACAAGAGGTCAAACCGTCATTTGGCAGGGAGTCAGTTCATGCTCGAAATCTCTAGATTTCATCCATAAATATTGCGTTGGTGCAAACGGAACACTTGTCAAGATCGATACTATCAATGGAAAAGACTTTTCCCACAAGACACTTGATCCCGCTACAGAAGAAGTTATTCTGATGCCTGGAATTACCCTAATTGTAAAGAGGGTTGCTTTGAATCCAGATAACAGTAATATCACTTTCGTAGAACTAGAAGAAACAGTTGACAAAATGCATGACGAAGTCGTACCAATTGCTTCGAAACCGCCGGCTTCATCACTTGCCAATCGTACGAGTAAGTACCCTTTCTTTTAATTCGAATATTTGTTGCTGATACCCATTTTTTTTTCTTCTTCTGATAAACCGTAAATTCAGCATTGAGAAAAGAAACTGTATAAAAGTCAAACATAAAATCAGTATACATCTACGAATGAT